CGAAGCTTCAGTTTTGTCATCAGTGACATGATGGCCCCTAGCTCATAGAGCTGTGAAGATTATTTGAGAAAAACCTTGTAAAACAGTTAGAACCATGCCTCGCACATAGAAAGTGCTCATTAAATGTCAGCATCAAGCACGATTCCTCAATATAAAAGTTCCATGCAATTTCTGTCAAATGTGCATTCTAGAAAAGGCTTTGCCTCTCCTGAAGAGTTGACATATTTTCTATTCTTTTCTGTTCTTGCATGAAATTCAAATTTTTTCTTTCCTTTTTTTAAATTAAATTTATTGGAGTGACATTGCTTAATAAGATTATATAGGTTTCAAGTATACATTTCTACTACACATCATCTGTATACTACACTGTGTTCCCACCACCCAAAATCAAATCCTCTTCTGTCACCATATATTTGACTACCTCTACTTTTTCCATCCCCATCCCTTTTCCCTCTGGTAAATTCTTTTTATCTACACTAAGCTTTTTTTTAGTTTTGGTTACTACTAAAATCAGAACTAAAATTCCACCCTAGCCTTAGCAGCTTTGTTTAATTCCGTTGCTTGCTTATCTGTCATCTAGCATTGCTTTCCATTCCATCTGTATTTCCCCTCTCCCTGATTGTTTGTTTGTACTGGTACATACATTATTATAGGCCACTTCAAATTTGTGGGATATAGCAAAAACAATAAATGAATGAGTAATTTTGTTTGTTTACATGTACTTAGCTACCAGGCAAGGATATTCTCCTAAAGTCAGGAACATGTTGGTTTCCCCTCACTGGAAATTAATGATTTGTATGCAGCATGTTATTAGAAAATGTTCACTGAATTAGTACATTAATACTGAATTACAGAGAATATGACACTAAATTAAAGTTCTACCAAAAACATTAAAATTCCAGTTCTAGATAAATGATCATGCAAGTTTAAATGTTTTCAAGTTACTTCAAATTTATTTTTCAATGAGAAGTGTTTTTTCCCATTTTGGTGTCATCTTTCACAATAATTTCAATTAATATTCTTTCTTATTCTCCCAGGAGAATTGCATGTGAACTCAGCATGATTATATATATACCAAGACACATTCACAGACTTCCTTGATAGGCCCTCATTAGAATGATAATTGTTTTTAGAGCTGGATAGGAATATAGAACTCCACCGTATCTCATTTTAGATGAGAAAATAAGGTTGAGGGAGTTTCCATGATACAAAGATCATGGCAGCAGAGATGAACTAGAACACAGGCTCATCAATCTCCCTCTCCATTTAGGTTCTTCTCACTATACTCACCTACAACTTTCCAGAACAGCAAGAACCATAATGACAGAACACTACATTAGTTACATACGGAAAGAACGAATCAGCTATTCTTTTAGCTCAGGTTTCCTTTCTAAAATGCCATATTATGCAAACAACAAACTATTTAAACAGAAATTCTGTGGAACTGAGGTACTGGTCTGGCAGGGCCTCAGAAAAGTTTAGGTATAAGGTCTGATAACAAAAGGAATAGTCAGCCTTCTCATATCTCAGCTCCCCCAAAAAATGTTACCTCCTCATAGCAACCTTCCATGACAATCCACATAAATAGTTATCCTTCCTGTTGCCCTTACCCTGCTGTCTGTTCCCTGATATATCACCCTTTGGAGTCCTTATCACAATGTATAATTATATTCTTTATTTTTTCACTTGTTTTTTTGTTGGTGCATGTTTGCTTGTTTGTTTTGACTGGAGTTTCCTGTCAAAAGCTCTATGGGCCATTTGTAGCCAGTATCAGTAATGTATTTAGATAAAGTAGTATATACTGCATTATGCTATATAGACAAAATCATGTAAAATATTTTAACTGTATCCTGTAATATAGCTGTCAATCCATTATCAGTTATTTCCAATTCAACGCTTTCCTAAAGCGTTGAATTTGGCAGCATCTTCATTTAAACTTATTCACATATATATTTTAAAGAAATGTTCACTGTGCTATCTTAAAATTAGCTTAAATTTTCAAAAAGTTTAGAATATGTTTAAAACATTTAAAATATTTTCTTTCAATACTCATATTAGTTTTATATGAATTAAGAAATATAGCCAAGATTTAATACACCCACCATAAAAGTTAGATCTTCATGTCAAAGCCCAAAATAAAGGCCAAGAATGGAAGAGTATATGTGTGCATGCTAATACCCAGAAATAAGTGCTACTCAAAACAAAAAAATATAACTAAATGACATTATTCTTAATATCTTTATAATCTAGGAAGCTTTATGAGACTATATCCAACATGAAGGAACAGGGTTAGTAGTTTACAGATATTTGCATGGTATTCTTTTTCGCAAATGCAAATTTCTTAAGGAAATATAAAGATCTAAAAATTGCAGCATGTCAAATGAAAATGAGTACAGGTGAGAGCAAGATTTGCCTGTTGCAGCATCTTTTCCTCTCACTTAGGGAAAAAAAGAGTTTGTTTTCACTTTTTCTTGCAGAACTATTTTAGTCAATGGAATTTTAAAAGAAGTCTCAAAACCAGCCTTATGAAAATATTAAAAAGTTAATAAAAAAGATATTTTGAGAATTCTTGCTATCCAGGAAAAAAGATCAGTTTCTAGATCAAATGCTTCTATTTGTAGCTACTTCTTCAGGAACACAGGCCTAAAACCAAGGCACTGCAGTTCCACAAAAGCTGTCTCCTCATGAGCAGCATCAAGTAGTGTTAGCCCCACTCCCCGCTAAACCGAGAGCTCCTTAATAATGAAAACGGTCATTAATTTTCGTCTTATTAATTAACACATAACCCGACACAGGTATCCTCCTCACATTAGGGCAGAGTGGCTCACCTATTATTTCTCTTCCCTAAAAAACCTCAAAGATGGGATTAGACCAGGTTGAAACTTTTTTCACTGCAACCTACTTGGCCTTGCTAACTAAGATACTTAAATGTTAACATTTTAATAAAATCTCATTAGTTTGGTTCTTACAAATTTGAAATATATAACTGTAAAGTTAAACTTTCATTTAATTATGGCCTTTTAAAAAGACTTAATCATGCAAATAAAAAGTAGGAAAAGATTCCAATGGGAGTATGCTGTTTCTTGAAGAGAGCAGTCTTTTAAAAAAATACTTTAAAAACCCACAAGCACCTACAGTCACTAAGCAAATTAAATCACAGATATTTGTTTTACTTGATAACACACCCATAGGCTAGCACTTAGGCACATGGATGGGGGATTTCCTGGTCCTGGCTCAATTTAGATCACTGCTGTTAGTGTGCAAAGACCTGAGATTTTTTTTTTTTTTTTTTTTTAAAGCAATGTCCCAGATGTCTTTCTGCCATCTGATACTAAACTGTTGATAAAGAGTCTTCCCATCCCAGGATCTGATAATCATTGTTTCTGCTCATTTGCATTGTCTTCTTGATAACTTTTTTTCTTTTTTACTTCCTTTCTGTCTCTCCTTCTCCCTCTCTCTACCCTTGCCCATCCTCTCTGCCTTTCTCTTTCTCTCTCTCTCTCTCTCTTTTTTTTTTTTTTTTTTTTGGTGGGGGGAGGGAGAAACACATCAGGGCTGGTTTTCACAAAAAAATATAATTTTTACCTTTACTTAGATCAGAATTTTGATTAGAGTGTGTTAGACACCTAGTGAGATCCTTGCTAAAATGTTTTTCTTTAGAAAAAGACTTCAAGGCTTTTAAGAAAAACTACCTAAATAAATACCTTACTTTACTTACTGCTAAATTTCCATTTTCAACAATAATGACCACACTCATCTACTGCATGTTTTAAAATGTAAAATGTTTTTATAGAAGATCTACTATGAATTAAAGGAACTAAAACACAGATCCTTTTAAAATATATTCAATCTTGGAAGACGTGTGAAAGTATTTAGAGATTAAGTATTCTGGTGCTTGCAACTGCCATTTAGTAAATTTAAATGAAGGGCATATGGTTGTTAATTGTATTATTTCTCCAACTTTTCTGTGGGTTTTAAAGTTTCCTCCAAATTGAAATTTAAAAAATTGAGAAAAAATTATATTATGGTTACCTTGTGAACGGGTGATGCTCATCACCAATGGTGTGAGTACTTCACAGATTGGCACGGATGACAAAATGAACTCGTAACCTCGGCGCTCTGTCTGTGCACTGCTCTATTTTCAGTAACAGTCAGGAAACAAACAGCATGGGAGACTCATTGGGTGTTCCTCTGTGCTGCCATTCCTACTATACCATTTTAAAAATTGTAGCTAAGATCTTGACTACTCATTTACTTGTGGTTTTCTATTATCTGTGGTTCTGTCCTCTATTGGGATAAATAATAAAGTACTAATTACTGGTTTAAAGAAAAAATAAATATATTCAAAATTTTATTCTTCATTGTTGACTCACATTGATTTGCCATTAGAATGTTACCCATAATTTTTTATTAGATAATTGTCTAAAGACTCCAATGCATATCTCATGAAAACTGCACACAGAGTTAACTTCAGTTGTTAGAGATTTTAAAACACAGGCTTCAGCTTGGTCATTGTCTCCAGTAAGATACCACGTGATTGTCCTAGTTGCCAAGTCTACAGTTAACAAGAATCCTGGCTTACTATGTGTCTCTATTGTTCGTGCTAATTTGAACTCCCTGCCAAGAAATAAAGCTTACCGGAAAAATAATAACTTTTTACAAATAAAATTTATGTTTATAATTAGAAATCAAACATGCAATTTCTACACAATAAGCAGCCCCTCAGCACACTTAGAAACTTCATTCAACTTAGGCCCTATGTCATACTTCCCTGCAGGCAAACGTGATCAAATTCTTCAATTCCCAGAAAACTGTAAATTATCACTGTTCTTTTCAATTTTTACAGTCACTAATGGTAAAAAATAAAATAAAATAAAATAAAATAAAATAAAATAAATATAAGCAGGGACTGTGGGCCAAGAACACAGTCATCAATTATGAAAAGTTGTAAATTTAAATTTTGCTTAATGAAAAAACTTAACAAAAGCGAGTGGAGTCGGAGAATACTGACCTACAGAATGATCAGCAAGACCCACAAAGGAGACCTGGGCCTTGGGATTCCAGAGAAAAACAAGAAGAAGAAGAAGGTGGTGATCGAAGAACCAGAGACTCAGTACTCAGTTGTAAACAGTAACAATTATTTCAATGGTGTCTGTCCCACAAGAGCCATATCACCCATGAAGAGTGTGATCAAAGGGCTGGCACCTGAGATCCCTCTAATGAAGAAAAAGAAGAAGCAAAAGAAGGGCCATAGCACCCTCTGTGAGGAGCACCTAGAACCTGAGACCACATTACATGCCAGGTGGACAGAGAAGTCTCCCAGACCCAGGACAGAGGTTCTTGGTCCATCTGAGTTCCTCAATGGGGAGAAGAAAAAGAAGAGAAAGTCGTGGCCTCTGGCCATGTCCCCTGACTTGAGGATGAAGACCTCCCTGGACCCCAGACAGGGGGAGAAAGTGACCAGAGTTGACAAGAAGCTCAAAATACACAAGAAGGAGAAAAAAGCCCACAAAACGTCAGCCTTCTCAGCCAGGGACACTTGGTTCTGCAAGGCTGAGAATCCTCTGCATACTTGCTCAGTGGGAAAGGATGACCAGGAACAGGCAGCCTTGGGGCAGAAAAGAAAGCAGGGGAACCCCAGGGAACACAATGTGAAGATGAAGAAGAAGAAAATCCACCAGGAGCGAGACACCTACTTTGGCCACCCCAAACCCTCCAGGTCCACGGACAGCAGCCTTAGGAAAGGAAGTAAAAAGAAGCCAGTCAAAGTTGAGGCTTCAGAATACATCCCAGTAGGAGGTGGCCTCAAGTCCCCTGTGAAGAAGAAAATGAAGTCCAATAAAAAGGCAGAGCAGCCAGGCACTGAGGAGCCAGCTCTGAAGAGAAAGAAAACAAAGAAGAGAAAAAAGAGCAAAGTAGCAGGAGAAACTTGGAAGGAGGAGCCTGACACAGACTTAGAGGTGGTGTTGGAAAAGAAAGGCAACATGGATGAGGCGCACATAGACCAGGGAACTCAGTTTGGTCAGTGGGATACAGCTGGTTCTGAAAACAAGGAACAGAAGCTGAAATTACTCAGACTTACAGGTGGCTTTAAAAATCTGCCCCCTTCATTCAGCCACACCCCTGTCACAACTAGAAGGCCCAACATGGCACTCAACAGGAAGGCAGCCAATACCCTGCAGCAAAGCCTGCAGCAGGACTACGACCGGGCCAGGAGCTGGAAGGACAGGTGGGGCACTGGCCTTGGCTTCTCCACCGCCCCAAACGAGATCTTTTATATTGACAGGAATGCTTCCAAGTCAGTCAAGTTTGAAGATTAAACTCTATTGTCCTGTCTCCCCAGTCAATATTGCTTATTATTCAAGTACACAGGGGAAAGCCTTCTGACAGTTGTCTGAAACTGAACTGCTACAAAAATAAAGGGGTGGGGTCAGCTCATGTTTCAAGAGCCAAGAGAACATGTGAGTAGCTAAAAGCTACTGTTTTCTGTGTTAAGCCTTCCATCCCCATTTGAAGACATCATGTGCGGGGACCCCATAAAACTGGAATTTATATATTAAAAATTTTGTACTAAAAAAAAGAAAAAACTTAACAAAAGCTTAGTTCACAGTCAAAATTAAGTCCATTTGCATTAAACCAAAAGGAATGAGCAAAGCTCAGTGGGCACCGGCAAATGGTTGTCCAACGTTTCACTGTGGGCCTAGTGTGAATAACATAAACTTTGATTACCCACTAACATTAACTAATATTTAAAAGAACAAAAAACATTAACTAATATTTAAAAGAGAGAGAACAGTAGTTGTGCTAAGAGATAGTAACCATCTTCAAGTCAGGGAGTGACTCAAACCAGTGAAGAAGAACCTACTGCTTTAGCAGTGTAATTGATGTAGAAGAGAAATATAAACTATAAAATTACAGTGCAAAAAGAAGGCATTATATTGCCTCATAACAAGAAATTAAAATTTTAATAGTAAAGACAGAAGAGCCAATGTCAAAAAGTTATAAGACTAAAGGTTACTAAGAATCACACACTTTACTCTGCCAAGGATGATTACCACTTATCATAGGAAGTCTCTTCTTCTTTTATTGTAGGTAGTTAACTAGTTATTAATAAAAAGAGAGCAAAGGGAATTAGACACCAAGTTTAATAAACTGAGGAGCATAAGTCTGCATGCTAAGCCAGGAGGCTGTAGCATTTATAGACTCCTTCACCCATCCAGAGGACTGCTGCCAAGGAGACAACCCTAGGAGCAGAGGAAATCTCCCCAGCAGCACTGTCCACCCTCTGGTACCAGATTGCTGGGGGAAGCAAGGGGCGGTGCTTGATCATAGAGGCCTGTCAATCTAACTAGGGGATGGACCCATCATAAGCCCACAAAAGTTTGAGAAGTAGATTGGTTATAACCCCAGGGGCAAAAAGAAGTGCTCTCTCTCTCATTCAGTGACCCACACTCTCCCCATATATTTGTGCATTCTCTCTCATGCGGGAACACACACAACCATGTGGGTTTAGCAGCTACTGGGGTCTGCAGTAGAACGCGCAGGCTCTGAAGTACTAAGCTTTAATATGAAACAGAAACTCTGGACACTGGCCTTTGTTTGGCCTTGCTGAGGACACGACTGGACTTTTTCCACAGTGGGACAGAGAGAAATGGGACATTAGCAACCCAGGGGCATATTTCCACCCAAATAAGCCTTAGCAGAACACTCCGATTTCTGTGCCTGGGTCTGTGAAATGAATGCTTTCCTCACAATCCTGTAGAAGAGCTTGATTTCCAGCAACAACAGTTCCACAAGTTAACAACACCCCAGGACACCCCCACCTCTGGCAGAAAGACACAGAGGAACAGGATGCAGCTCAGTGGCTATTGAATTATTCATGCAAACCTTAACAAGCTCCATCCTCACCAACAGGCTTACAGTTTTTACAAAAACTTTTCCTTATTTTACAGGTTTCAAATTGGCCCGATTCTCTATAATCAATACATTTTGCTATAAAGTTGTAAAATAAACTGTTCTACATAAATAAAAGTTTTAGGAAAGAGAACCCCCACATCTCAAGCAACAAAAGGAGTACTTTTATTTTTAACCATTTTTGATGAAAGTTTTCTAAAATGTAGTATCCTTTCTCCATATTTGTTTTAAATATATAACCTAATGATGATAAATCAAACTTTCATTGATGGCTAGAACATTATAAGCGTCTTTATTTTACTGTTAATGTAATAATGTCTGCGTTCTAATTTCTTTCTCTTTTCTCTTTATATTAGATTATAACTTCTGCTCTCATGGAGCCAACCTCTAGCAGAACAACTTTCCTTATAAACTGCTGCTTCTGCTCAGCTTTGGAAAAAGAGATAATTGAATTTTATATGGTATCCTAGGTAAGAAACAATGAATTATGTATGAGGCCTAAGAGTAAAAACTTTGACTTAAGCTGAGAGGTTTTCTCATTAACAATCTTATTCAACTATTTTTGGATTAAAACAAAGACTTAAAGTTAACAAAAACAACAATAAAAAATCAAAGTTATTAATAAATTAAATACTTTTTTAGTAGGAAACATGGTTATAATATTTTCTAATGCCACAGAAGTGTAAGAATTGGAAATATTTAGAATTTCTTCTTAAAGTTAAAAGAATAATCAAGTTCAACTAAATTTCTGCTCTAAAAAATGATGTCATGGGAACAATATAGATTTTTAAATATAACATTGTTGCATTAAGCTTATTATCATGTGATGACTTGTGAAAGGGCCATTATTTTACAACTCCACCGAAGAGATGGACTTAATCATCATATGCAGCCCACTCTCAACACCATCTTGGACTTTCCACAATGCTCTATATCCTTCCTAACCCATTTCCCCACTTAGCTGACTTCCCCACTGACTTCACTGGGGGTTAGGAGATCATACCATCTGCCTCTTGTTCTAACTTTCAGGCAAAATCCTCTACACAGATGAAAGTGGTCTCTTATCTGGCATTTCCTCTCTGCTCCATCCTTTGACTCAGGGCCTCCAACCAGTTGCTAACATTCCCAAAACAGGCCCAACTACTCTCTCTGTCTCTCTCTGTCTCTGTCTCTGTCCTTTGTCTTTGCCTCTGTCTCTCTGTCTCTCTCTCTCTCTCTCTCTCACACGCGCGCGCGCACACACATACACACACGCATGCATGCACGCACGCACCATCTCTTTGGCTCTCTCCACAAACAATCAGCAATTACAAATGCCAGCAACACTTTTGCAGGTCTTGACTGATGAATATTCCACGTTTTAACAAAAGATAATACATTGCCATTTATCTTTTCTTTAAACAGTATGAAACAAAACTTTGGATTATGAATTCAATTACCACCAGTTTTTTAAATCTAAAATCATTTAATATAGTCAAAACAGTAACTAAAGAAAAACTGAACTAAACTTAAAAATGTCACTTGCTCTCCATCACCCTAATAAGATTCAGAAATGAGAGATGATTTGGATTCATTCTTAATTTAAATCCAATCTAAATTCCAAGATCATTCCAAATTGTATTCCACTATTTTTGCATCTTCAAGCTAGGCACGCAATGGAAATGAGCTTGGGCACGAAGCCTCAGGATCAGCAGACTGAAAACCAAAAGCCAGAAAAATGCATTTGATGTGTAGGGTGCAAGATCTCTTATATCCTGGACCTAAATTCTCAAGCTATTTTTTTTTGGAGGTTCATCACAGGATATATGGATAATATCTAGGAAAGTCTCCATTGAGAAAGTAGAGAATGTTACCAGATATGGGGAAAAATATTAATTCTGTAGGTGGTTAATTTGGACTCAGAACGTGAATCTAGATCTATTTAGCTTCATTAATGAGATAAGTTATTGTTAAATTCTATTCCTTTGTTTTATTCTTTTAGCAAATATTCCTGTAGGAGAGCATAGTTGGGTAAAGATATCTTTTGGCTTCAGTCTTTATTATATTCCTGTGTTTGTGTGGAGTTTGCCAAAGGGAAAAAATCTCATGTTAACTAATGAGGTCTAGGAACAAATGTCAACATATGCCTTGTGGCTGGTCGGTTCAGCTGCCCGATACACCTGCTTTGGATACCAAAGACTTGAATTGGGTCCCAAGCGGCCTTTTCTTTCCAGAAACAATACACACACCCCTTTCGCCCACCAGTCATTTCATAAAGAGGAGATAAGCACACATCCTTATGGAGATGGGAATGTGGTGTTTTAACTCCATCATTTCCATTGAGAGGGAACAAAAGAAAATGGCCACTGTATTTAACCAACAACATGCAACTATACTAATCATTTCATACATACAAGAAAATCAATTAATTTAAACTGAATCCTGGCTATTCAACTAACCAGCTCAGCAAGCCAAGCACACAGTAAACTGTGCCCAGAACAGCAGGTACTGACATTCTATGGTGACAAAAGTAGGGAATAAAATGAGAGAAAGGCATGAAGTTTGCATAGAACTTTGCAAAAGCCCAGCAAACATGAATGTTTGCATAGAAGTTTGAAAAGCCCAGCAAAATGCCAATAGATAATGTTTCAAAGCAATGAAAATACATCCCTACATCTGCTTTGTGGTTCTTTCTCTGAAGAGGGATTTAGAGGGAGTGGGCCAAGGTGCTTCCTCATGAAGAGGAAATAAAGCTCCCAGTTGCCAGGAAGGTCTGTAGGATTCTGAAACCAAATTCAGAGCACTTTTTGTTTTTAAAGGGTTTTTTTTATTTTTCCCACTAAGAAAAGAGAATGAGTAATTAGAAGCCTTTGCTTTATTGATGTTTGTTTTTTACAAAGGTTTTTCTTATACTTCTAAAAAAATTAAGAAACTATATTTTATCTCCTTTTCTAAAAATCATGATGGAAGGAAATACTAAATAATTTTTACTGATGAAAGAAATATTCCTTTTTGATAAAACACACTTGCCCTTTTATCCACTTAAAATCTGATATCATAACAATGATGCTGCTAACAGACACCTTTGAGTTGTGGGGCTCGCAGTGCTGTTGTTTTTGCTGTACTGTGTTTGGGCTCATCTTACCACGCTGTCACTCAGACACCCACAGATATTTGACACACGGTGTCCCTCCTCAACGGTGAACTAGGTGCATGCCCAGGACTTAGTTGTTTCTTACTAGCAGCTATTATCTGAGCTTCTTTCGATGAAATAAAAGAATTAGAGCACATAATGAAAATTAGAGCGCCTACAATACTGGAAAAATTAACTTCAGTTATGATGTACCTTTCATAATAGAAAGAAGCTCACAAGGTTTAGGTACTACAAGCAAAAGCGCAGTGTGCTCACACAGCAAAAGAAGTTTTT